CACATACTGCTCGTCGAAGAAATAAACAAAGGTCTCTCATGAAACCATCATCCTCTGCTCTGGAGTAAATCGGAGTCGATACCATCCTCCTGCATCGCCCTTGAGGCTGAAACCTACTAACCTCTACTTTTGCACAGTGTTCACATTAAGCATATCCAAAATGTTACTCATATCTTTCTTCCACTTGTGTGCAGCAATGGAATATGACGAGCCATGAAACTCTGGTGCCTTTAACTTTTGGTATCTCTCTACCAAACGAAGCCAAACCTCCTGCTCAGTAGTTCCATTATGAACTGGTGGTGGTGGGGTATCTATCAGTGTCTCCTCTTGTGTCACCTCCCGAATGGGTGTCTCCTGGTGAGCCTGATTTTCCAATTGCTCCTCAATTGCTGCCAGTCGTGCTGCAAAAGGTGCTATGAGATCCACTAAGTACGACGGAGCCTGTTGCGATTCGGGCTCTCTATCAGCTTGCTCAGCTCCCTGAGCAACCTCCACGACCACGTTCTCTTCCCGACATCTATAAGTTTAGGGGTAGAGCTTGTTAAATATAGTAAATAGGATCTTAGGCATAAAGATAAAACATATATCAATAAGAAAATAGTATCAATTATCATTCACTGCATGCTTTATACTTCAAAGCAAATAGTCATCATCATAAAAAAAATTTGTAATTTTCGTGTATATATATATAATACGTTCTCACTCATACTAGGAATTCCTAATGGACTCTATACATGATTCCTAGAAAACTTTATCCTAGCTCCACAATATGACACATGAATGATCCTAAGGATGTCGGAACTAGAGCTCTGATACCAATTGTGACACCCCAGGGTTCACACAAAGCTATAGTCAAAGGTAAAATCCGGATTGTCAAACCTGCCATGCACCAACACCGTACAACAACATGTTTTACCATCACAATTACTATCTCTCTAGTAGAATCAACAAACAGGTGAAGGTACAAATAAGAAAATAATAAAAAAGTAGTACAAAGAAAAGAATAATCACAGAGGAAGTATAGATAAACAACATCATCAGGGCCCAACTATAAATAAATAAGATATCTCTAAAACTGAAATAAATGTAGTATGTCTCATCACAAGAGTTAAATAAAATCTCTCTAAGGCACTCGACTTCTACAAAATAAAATCATAATATCTAGAGTCTGAAAATAAACAACTAAATGTGGAGCTTTGAAATAACTACAAATGTAAATAACTAGATGGAATCTAAGATCCAATCCCATCAACCTGTAACTATTCGTGGGCTGGACTCGCAGCTTGATAGGGGGAAAAACAACGAGCGTTAAAGTGCTAGCGAGATCAATTCCACCGCCCCTAGGGAGAAGGGGTAGGAGTATATAAGAAAATACTGTTAGTACATATAACTATAAAAATCATTCATATAACTCTAAATGGAGATTGGTATTTAGAAACCCACAACACGAGAATTAGTACGTCGAGCAAAATAATCCAAACAAGAAAACCCTCATGTATATACCATGTCTCAAATTGTGAATCGCTAAATACCAATTCAAATCCTATGAATGAAAACACTACATGAAGAAAAAATACTTCAAACCTCTACCATAATGAACCAATGTCACATCTCGAACTACCCTCGGGTAGTTGACGCAGTCATAAGGAAATATCATCTAGCTCAAATATCACCATAGGCTATTCATGTATGTCATGTATCCAAAATATACCCCACACTTGGGTAATCTAATATGTGAACAAACTACAACTGTGTGTATATGTATTTATCACATAACGATACTTTTGTAAGGTTCTCACATTCACATGTGGATTCAACGTCCTTACTTAATCGTTCTACGGCAACAGGTTTTATCTCCCCTATTCCGGATGATGCATCCAGATGATCATACTACGGAGTATAGGTTTATCAGCCAATCCGAAAACACATCGATCATCTTTGAGTATTGGTAACGCCGAGGTCTCATTATGGGATAACGACAAAATACTCCTAGTGTGGTGCCGCCGAGGTCTTATTACGGGATAAACGTCCATATCGAAATATCCCTAACAGATAAGTATGTATTATTATGTATTATACCAACAACAATTAACTCAAACATGTATTGTGCATCTCCCCTATGCATATATATTTATTTAAGAACATAATTCAAGCATTAGTGCACGTATCTAAATGTGTGTGTCCATATTTCGTGTTCACTAACACCTCAGGTGTTAAACAGGTCATAAACTTAATATTATATCTCATATAGATCGAGAAAATCCCTCGAAAACATCACACGCGAGTCAAAACATGCACATGCTTCTGCCTGCATGGCGGTCGATCGCACCTTAAGCGGCGGTCGATTGGACCGCGATCAACAGCCTGCTCTGCAGGTTTGTGATTTTTGTGTTCGTGCGTGATTTTCATGATTCAAAGTTGTTTAATTCATCATAAAACACGTGTAGAATATTGTAAACACTAGATTAACATCTCTAAAGATTATTAAACAATGAAACATGATTAATTGCATGATATATCATATTCAAACCCTAAACATGCACGAAAACATCGATATGTCGATAAAAACATCAAAACTCAGTTAAACCACATTGTTATTTACTTTTAGATCTTAAATCACCTCTGGAAAATCGTTCTTAAGCTTTTAAACATAGAAAGATCTGATCTTTATTCATATAATATAAAAGAATTGCTTTTATACTCAAATTAGTCGATTAGGCTCAATAAAATCATATTAAAACTCATTAAAAACCTTTAAAAACTTAGGAGTAGGGTTAGCAGAGATGAAACTCACCCGGGACTTGTTGAAAAACGTGAAACATGCAATTCCACTGCAGATTCCTAAGCCACAAGCCCAAAACAAACTGAAATCCTGCTCCAAAAGCTCTTGAACTTTCTCAAAAATCAAACTAGGGTTTAAAAGAGGGTTTAGTGGCTGCTAGGGTTTTTAGAACTCTGAAAAAGATGTAAAAATTCATGAACATGTGGTATATATGGCAGGGAAACGGATCTGGGCTCAAAAATACCCAAAACCAACTCAAACTGGGAAAATTGTTTTCCCGATCAGCGGTCGACCGCGAGGTGTACGGCGGTCGATCGGACCGTACTTTTCCAGTTTATGCAGTTTTGCCTTTGTGCATGTTTTCAACTCGTTTCTTTCTCATGTAAGAACTTGTTTTTCACTCAAAATACTTGGTATCCTACTCATATATCATTTAATGATAATTATCAAAATAAATATCCACTTACCACAATTAATCACATCTCAAATTTTTGAGGTTTTACAGACACAAGGCAAGATATCCACCCCGGGGTTATTAAAATCCTACTACTTCCTCTTACTCAAAGAATGCTAGAGTTTAGTAAGAGGTAGAGCTCTCTTTTATTCTCTTATGGAAACCAATTTTTCATTAACCATTCAAGAATGAAAAGAGTTCATTTATATATATAGAGAGATATGTCATGACTCATCTCATGAGTCATGGCATGAGCCATCAAATACAATGATTCATCTCATGAGTCATACAATGAGTCATGAAAAATCAAAACCATGTGCTTAAAACCATGTTCCCAAACCATAGCACCTTAATGACTCATCTCATGACTCATTAATTATGGTATAATATATTATTTCCTAAAATACGATATTCAGTATTTTTTCAATCTTTAACTAAAAAGTCAACCAATTGACTAAAAGTCAACCAGTTGACTAAAAGTCAACTTTATGGAAAAAAAATTCTGGAATTTATTTCTTAAGCACATAGCATTCTAATTTTACCGATACATATAATCGTTTATGTGTATATGGTGAAAATCATATATGCATATCAATTATACGTATTTCTCTATAAATTGTATTTCATAGGATTCAAGTATGTGCTTGGTGCGACTCTAAGGCCCAACTTAAAACTCGACAGTGGATCATATCCACAAATATAACAGAAGTGATAGCTACACATGAAGACTATCCGGGTATAACTTGTGATAAAGATCTGCAAGATGCTTAACCAATTTTATCAGGAAACTCAGTGATAATACCGTACAATCCGGTCTCTTTGTGAAACCATGTTAAACTATCAAGCCTAGGGTATGGTAAACTGTCAAACCCTAATAGCTCGATTAGTGTTTATTAATATTAAACACATAATCTATAAGATCAAACTGACACTCAATTTATCATATTTACCCCGGCCAAGGATTTTCAGACTATAGTTATATCAAACAATTTTATGACACCAACCCCCTATACTGGAAGAGACGAATTCCATCTGGGCATCTCAATATCTACTTATGTCTCGGGATGCACCCAATAAGAACCGTTATGCACAACTCAATGAGAACCGTGGTTAGATAAAAGTCTAAGTACACCTATACTAACATATAAGATATTGCACTCATGCCTCAGGTCAAGAGACTACTTTGTACTATATCACTTGAGAACTTCCATTTGACAGTTAAGTATATTACTAACTAGATATTCTCGGTGAGTCGTTCAGCTAACTCATTCACTAATGAGTCACCTATATACTGTATCTTGATGTCTCTCATCAATAATCTAAAAGATAAATCATTGTCCTTCAAAAGAACAAATAGAGTATACACTAGTCTTTCCAAAGTGATGATGTCCTTTCTCGACACTTCATCGACTAGGAACATTTTAGAATATACATTAGCGACTAATCAGATCTCTTCTTCATTACGATCAACATCGAAATTCTGATGGTCTAGTATTATTCTAAGAATTTTGTCTGTATTTAAAAAAAATTAGATAAATACTGATCAAAATAGCATACTATCATTTTGAATAAGGATGTTATATTCATATAGGTCATGTTACAATATACAATTATTGTCTGCAGGGCACCTATATCTAACAGTTATATGATCTAAACAAAGTTAAGAGGGCTTATTTGGGAAATGCTAAATCTCAGAGGGGGTGTTGCGAAATTAACCCCATATATAACAAGGGAAATAGGAGGAACCAGATCAGAGGGACCAAAATGGAAACCAGAGGAACGAACAAGAGGAAGAACGTATTAACCATCAATGACGAGAGTCAGAAAAAATCTCAAAAATCCGCAGAAATCCAAAACACTCAAGTAAAACTCGAGGGAGTAGATCGAGAAGAAGAAGAGCGCGATGAATCTCGTGGCGTTGGGAGCAGAAATTTATCTAGTTTGGTCATGATTAAAACAGATGTTCTTGATTGCTTCATTTGCTTCGAGCCCTTGAGGCCTCCTCTGCGTCAGGTTAATTCGATTACTGGCTTCTCTGATTTCATTTTTTCTGTGGAAATTTATTAGGGTCTCGAAACTGGGATTTTTGTTGATATTTAGCGTGCATGCCACTTAGTTTGCTGAAAGTTGAGATTTTGCTTATGGCCTTTGGATGACTGTGAAACTACGGTTAGTGTTGGTACTCACTGTAATTATTCTCAAAAAAATTGAGATTTTGCTTATGATTTTGATGATTATGGCTTCATTTATAATTGGCTTACTTGCACTTAAGTACCCTATAGTTTCCCCTTCATTGCACTTATATGGCCTCACTTGTTTTCACTGCACTTACATCCCCTAAAAATTTTAAAATTTGCACTTAAATACCCTCAAAGAATTTTCCTCTCGAATATTCTCATGACGTGCACATGCTAATTCTTGTATTTTTTTAATCCTTAATTTTTGTTCGATTTGCTGTTAACACTACTGTAAGTCTGTTTTAAAAGTACTCTGATTTTATTTTAAAGAGGAAATTTTCAAAACAGCCCCAAAAAGTTTTTTATTTTTCAAAATCGACCCACTTTTTTTTTTATCAAAATTAATCCACCCACTTTTTGCCACGTGGGCTTAATGAAGTTCCTAAACAGTCGGGGTTACCAACGGTAACCCCGACTGTTTAGGACATGAAAATTTCGGGTTTAAGGGTTCTAATTGGGGTTTAACACCCTCCTAAACAATCGGGGTTGCCAACCCCACTGTTTTAAAATAAGATTTTGATATAGGTCTATTAGTAATTTTTAACAAATAACAAGAATTAAAATATTGTAAAATTAGTATGTGAGTGTTGCATGAGCATGAGAATTTCTAGGGTGAAATTCTCATGTTTGCATAATTGAGGGTATTAACGTGCAAATTTTAAAAACTTTAGGTTATATAAGCACCTATAGGGTATTTTAGTGCAATTAAGCCTTTAGAGTTTGTTGATGTTGGAGCTATTTTTGTTGTAGTGAAAACTAGGGTTGTTGTGACCTGAGTGTTGGATGATTGTAAAAACTGGGGTTCTTGTTAATACTAAATGCATACGCTGTAATTTTTCATAGAAGTTAAGATTCTACTTAATAATTCTTATCTAGAAGTTATCCCTCAAAAAGTCTTCTCTAGAAGTTAAGACTTTGCCTATTATTTTGATGATATAGGGTTTACATTTACTTGACAATTGCTTGAAAGAATCTCCAGTCTCAGTTGAGCTTGAGAAAAGTTTTGGTTCACTGAAGCTTTGCAAATGATGGTACTGAATCATGATGCTTTGTGAAACTCATTCATGATAACTTTCATCCTTAAATATTAATTTTAGCAATCAAACCGTGATTTTGAAGATGATCAATCTTTAAGTTTTTTTCTCTCAGTGCCAAAATGGACATGTAGCGTGTTCTGCCTGCTGTGTTAAGCTCCCCGAAAACAAATGCCCATCCTGCTCTCATCCAATCAACTTCTCTAACGTTGCAGCTCTCGAGAAGATCATAGCATCAACCATATCCTCTTGTTGTTATGCAAAGCATGGCTGCAGTAGAACACTTCCTTATCATGAGATACTCTCTCATCAAGAGACATGTATTCATGCCCCTTGCTTCTGCCCCATGCCGAAGTGCACTTTCTCTGATTCCCCCATCCAAGTCTCAACACACTTTCGGGCCAAACATGGAAGCTTTATCATTAATTTGCAGTATGGAAAACAGTTAACTATATCTTTGAAGCAAGACGAACCATTTGTGGTACTTCATAAACGAAATGATCCCCTCTTCCTCCTCGTCAATGACAAGAATGTTGAAGGAAATTCTTTATCGTTAGCCTGCATTCGCTCAAGTTCCACGGAATGTGATTTCACGTATGAGCTTATGGTAAGTGGTGGAAGCTGTTCTTACCAGTTTAAGGCATCTCCTGCAAATTTTAGGAAGTGGGAGGAAGGTTACCCTAGGAGCTCCGTCCTTGTGGTCCCCCAAAACTTCTGCTCTTCGTCAGGAGATATTGTCCTTAATATTTGCATCAAGAAGGGGAGGATGCATATCAATGTCTAGTCTAATCTTCTGGATGCTGATTTTGTTGTAAATATTCAGTGTCTGGCGCGAGTGAGCAGGTATCGGGATCATATTTTGTCTTGTGATGTATTGATCTCGCCTGTGTTTGATCTGCTGTACTTTTGAAATGTTGTAGCTATTCACCAAAACAAGCTCACATTGTGCAATGTAATGCATGTACATATGGAGCTATGAAAACTGATGCAGCTATCTAAACATTGTAGAAAAGTTTTGTAGCTATCTAGAGAGGAGTATCATGTACTATGGTTTTTGAAGAGGAATATCCTAATCTGACTTGTGTTCTATTTCATCTATTTATGAAGTAATTTCTGTAGCTATGTATTAAACAAAAGCTCATTTTGGGTGTTGTACTTGCACGTAAATTTACAAAAGTGTGGTGGTTATCGAAGTATTGTGAAGAAACCCACCGTGGGTGAGTCGGACAGTTGGGAGGTTTTCCAATATAGCTCTCATTGTCTTCGTTCAATTCCATGTTGGGTTATCAAAAAGAAAAAAAAGGGAAAGAAAAGAAGAAGAAGAAGAAGAAGAAGAAGAAGGAGAAGTAAATCTTCTGAAGAAGTGTTGTAGCTAACTAGTGCATAGCATTAATTTGGTTTTTCATGGATATAGTGATCTCACTTGTTTAAATCTGGATACTTTTGAGGCAAGTGTGGTAATTAGCTACCAGACAATCTCAGATATTGTTGTTGTAATTGCGTGTTCCCAGTCTTAAAAGATGAGGGGAAAATTGTATTCTGATCAATTACTTTTTATTCACACGTAAGAGGTATTATTTAGTTCTATTTATTACATTTTCTCCTTAACCTGTGAAGCTTGAAAATAGATAGGGGCATCGGCTTCTTTTCAATTTCTACCATCACACTAGTAGAAAACTGAGTATTGACGACGGGGTATTGGTGACGGATTTGAAATCCGTCGCCAATACAAACATTGGCGACGGAACATTGGCGACGGGGTTGTTCCCGTCGCCAATGTTTGTATTGGCGACGGATTTCAATCTGTCGGCCAATGTTTCGTCGCCCATAACCTTTGACGACGACAAACATTTGGCAGACGGATAGTAATCCGTCGCCAAATAAAGTATGGCGACGGATTCGATCCGTCGCCAATAAGGTATTGGCGACGAATTCTTCCGTCACCAAATGTTCCGTTCGTCAGGAACTTATAGCGACAGATTCAATCCGTTGCCAAATAAGTATTGGCGATGGAAATGATGCATCGCGCAATCACGTATTAGCGACGGAATTGATTTCCGTCACCAATGTTTCGTCGCAATGATTATTTGGCGACGATCAAAAGTTCGTCGGCAATAAGTATGTGGCGGCGAATCGAATCTGTCGCCCCAATAAGTATTGGGCGAGCGAATGTGTTCCGTCACCAATGTTTCGTGCTAATATTATTGCTGACAGATTCCGATCCGTCGCCGAATAAAACAGTTGGCGATGATTCTATGCCGTCGCCATTTAATGTATGCGACCGAATCTATGCCGTCGCCAATGTTACCGTCGCCCAAATCGACTTATTAGGCGACAGATTGCTTCCGTCGCAATAAGTATTGACGACGAAACATGTTGCTCGCCAATACAATATTGGGGGGCCGAACGGAATAGATCCGTCGCGAAATGTTCCATCGGCCAATACTATTGGCGACGGATTGAATTCGTCGTCAATAAGTATTGGGCTGACGGATCGAATCTGTCGGCCAATAAGGATTGCGACGAAATGGATCCCGTCACGCAATGTTTCGTCGCCGAATGACTTAGTTGGCGACAGATTCTATCCGTCGCCATACACATTGGGGACTTCGATCCGTCGCCAATAAGTATTAGCGACGGATTCGAGTCGTCGCTAATGTTCCGTCGCCAATACTTATTGGCGACGGATTCGAATACGTCGCCAATACTTATTGGCGACGAATCAAATCTGTCGCCAATGTCCGTCGCCATCGTAAAAAATTAACATTAGTGATTGATTATCACATTGTTAATGAGTGGCCCTACAAAAAATTAAGAATTATTTTAATATTAGTCCCTCAAATCTATAATATTTTAAATGTAGTCCAATACTATTTTGTTCCACGCAGGTAGATGATAGCTTGAGAGCTGAGGACGTGGAAGTCTACTATGATCCAGGACAGTTGTTTGGTGGCCTTCTCAAGGGCCCCCTGCTCCCCTCTAGCGTCGTCGTCGAGGAGGCTGTAGCCGTAACTTTGTCGCTGGAGGCATGTCCCTTCTTTAGGGAGAAGTGATATATACTTCCTGAATTTGAATTTGCTTGTAGAACGAATCTAGTAGTTTTCTCGTTAATAAATGAATGGAATTAGTGGAAATACCTTTTGCTTGTTTAAAAATTAGTGGAATTAATGAGCAATATAAAAGGGTGGTTTTCTAGTCATATTTTTATACTTTCAAGAAAACCAATCTAAAGATAACCACTAACAGGTAGAAAACTGAGCATTGACGACGGGGTATTGGCGACAGATTTGAAATCCATCGCCAATACAAACATTTGCGATGGAAAGATACATATGTTATCAGATTCTTATGTTAAAATATTTTTAATTAATTAGGAATTCTATGTTAGTTTTTAAATTTATTTATTTTTATTCTTTATGCTAGTAGATTCGATGAACTCCACTACGAAAAGGACATAAATTCAGGGGCAAAAAATGGGCAAATAAGTTTGATGGCCAAGAAGAGAAAAGAGGGGAGCCGCGTGAAATGACTGGAGATGAGATTGTAAACTTGTTTGAGGAATATCCTAAATTCAAGTTCGGAAAGAACCGATTTACAAAAGAGGAAATTCTCGCTCCGAGACGCACTTCTATCATGAAGAGGGAACCTAAACGAAAGAGGCAAGTGCGGAGTTTGGATGTCACACATGCTGAGACTTTGCCGACAGGATGGACAAAATTTAGTATATTCTTTCAGTTGCCTTACTGGCATAAACTCAAACTCCGACATAATTTAGATGTAATGCATATTGAAAAGAATATATGTGATAACTTATTATCCACACTCCTTCAAGATGGTAAGAAATCAAAGGACGATTTAAGGGCTCGACAAGACTTGAATGCGTTGAACATCCGACATGATCTGCAAGCACAAGAAGTAGCCAATGGAAAATTTGATTTGCCTTCAGCTCGTATTACAATGTCAAAAGTTGAGATGCAGAGATTCTGTGAGGTGCTTAAGTCAGTGAAGTCACCAGATGGTTACTGCTCTAATATTTCAAATAATATCCAAGTGAAAGAGCGAAAACTTTTAGGACTTAAGACTCATGATTATCATATCCTTCTTCACCAATTGCTTCCGGTAGCACTTCGTAACAACATGGCCGATGAAGAAGTAGCAAAAGTTATAATCGAATTCTGTGGATTTTTTAAAAAGTTATGCTCAAAAGTTATCAATATTGATGAATTTAAGGCACTAAAAGGAGACATGAATGAAACCCTCTGCAAAATGGAGATATTCTTCCCTCCACATTTTTTACGGTCATGGTCCATCTCACACATAATCTTGTAGATGAGGCATTACTCAGAGGACCAGTTAACTATCGTTGGATGTATCCCATGGAGAGGTTAGTCAAAATTCAATTAAGTCTATTTACAATACATGTAACTGCTTTATATTAACAACTCATATTAATATTATCTTTAGATATTTGGGTTTCTTGAAACGCATAATGCGAAATCGGGCTCATCCTGAAGGATCGATTGCTGATCATTACGTGGCAAATGAATGTATGATGTTCACCTCTCGATATATACATGGTGTACATACAAAAAATAAGGAGATAAATAGTAATAGAGATGGCACCTTTCATGGAAGTACCAAGATGAACAAAGACTATTCCAGAATTGACTTGAATCAGGCTCATGCCTTCTTATTGCAGAACCTGGAAATCTTTAAAGATTATCGCAAGTAAGAAATTAACTTTAACAAATATGAATTTTTTTGAATTATATCAATAATTGAACTCTAATTTTTTGTATCAACAGATGACATTTGGAGGAGTTACATTTAGAAATTACTGGTGCGTCCGCACGAAATCAAATTGCTAAAATTCATGAAAAACATTTTACTGAGTGGGTCATAGCTGAAGTAAGTTAAAGTGTATTTTATTTTACATTCTCTTTGGGAATAAATAAGGCTAACTATTTAACTCTAATTTGTGTTTATGTGCAACATTAGGTAGAAAGACAAAAATGTGCTGGTTTGCCAGTGTCAGAAGAGATAAGTATTCACTCACATGGACCGCACTACACAGTTAAACAATGCAGCGGATATCGTGTAAATGAGTGTTTATTTCAACGGGTTGGGCTTGAGGAGGAGAGAGTTACTCAAAATAGTGGGGTCATGGCTGCATTTTCTCAAGAATGTTATTCAAGCTCAACTGATCAAAACCCGGTACTTGGTGATGTAATTTATTACGGACAATTAGAAGATATTGTGGAGATATTCTATGCGTACGGTACCAAAAATGTACGTAGTTATGTGATGTTTAAATTAAGGTTCGTTTGTGTCATGCAGACATACTAGGGATGCATATGGTTTTCATCTTGTAAATCTAGATAAGGAGATATATCCCGATATGAAGTTTATGTTTGCAAATCAGGCTACTCAGTGCTTTTACGTCAAAGATCCTAAGCACCCGAATGTCTGGGTCGTATTGTATAAGGAGCCGAGGACTCTTGTTCAGCTTGCTCTTGATGAAAACTCGGATGATACTGATGACCCAAATGAGGCCGAAGGAGAAATTTTTCTTAATTACTCATACCCTCAGAATGTCAATTTTAATATGTATACTTCACAAATTCGACTTGATATTTGTAATGTAGGAGATTGAATACAAAGATCCTTATGCAAATTCAACTTGATATCTGTAATGTAGGAGATTGAATACAAAGATCCTTATGCAAATTCGACTTGATATCTTGTATGCATTTATTAAATATTTCAATTATGTTAGATTAACAATTTAAGTTGCAGATGAGCCAAAGAGTTAGGAGGCTATCTTTTCCTCGGGATCGAGAAGGTCCATCATCCGGTATGCATATTCAAAATTTGTTTTAAGTAAGTTGTATATTTGATATAAATATGCATTATATTTACTATTTTGTTTATTTATCTAGGATCGTCCTCACGACCATCTCGGAGTCATTTATCTCTACATGGATCCTCACCAATTGAAGGTATAAAATTTGCTTGCTTTATTCAGTTTGAACTTTCTGTGCATGTAATTACCTTAATTGATAAATTTATA